TCCATCTCCCCCTCCCTCTTCCACCAACTCCTGCCCCTCCCTCTCGCCTCCCTCTTCCACCAACTCCTGCCCCTCCCTCTCCCCTCCCTCTTCCACCCCCACCCCCATGCACACACTGTGGGGTCTACAGATTGACACTACAGCTTCTATAAGCTCCTTGGCTGCACCTTATCTTGCACAAATCCTGTGTGTGACGCCTGCCAAATGTGAAGCAGCGTGGTGGAATCTGGCTCTCGTCAATTTTTGGGCATGTAGAGTTATTGGTATCATCTTAAAGCTTGTTCACTTGTCTTTATTTGGAGGGGAAAAAATATCCATTTATCTTCAATACAAGTCGAGATATTTGCGAAAGAAGGAGGTGGGGGTCACCTGTTTTCGGAGGTAAAATTAGTGAGAAAATGGCCGCCAAAGATTAATTATTTTCCTTAGCTTAAGAGTCCGTGGTAACTGAAAATTTACATTTTTGTGCCTTTAATCAATGTTTTTCAGAAACATCCACACAGAAATGAGTTCTTTTATGAGCATGAAAGGTGTTAAGCCAAAAATAAAAAATTTGATTAAAATTCACAAACCTACGGAAAAATGCAAGTTTTTTCACTTTGATTATTTTGACGAGAGCCTGATTCCACCACGCTGCCTCACAATTGCACTTACAGCAATGATAAAAAGGTGGACCTTTTTTAATTTTCTAAATCCCTAGTGTATTATATCCAAGGCACTTCAGTGGGTGGTTGGTGGGTGCTCTGGTGTGGTTTGCTTCTTCTTTCCTATCAAACATCTATCGTCCTTATTGCCCCTTCTTTTTTATGTTTGTTACTCTCTTGTAACACCTCTAATCTTCTGGCGCTCATATGACCTTATGCAGTTGTGAGCGCTGCAAAACCCTCTACTAAAACTAAACTAAAACAAGGCACTTCTACGATCGTTGGGGCATGTAAAAAGCTCGAATAACCATGCCCATCGTCCATATATTTCTGTTAAAAAATGTTGTTGTTTTTTAAAATAATAAACAGCCCCATCCATTGTACACTAGAGAAGAGAATCATAAACGGAACTGCATCTAGGGATGACTCAGACTTCGTGGGCAAAGGAGGTGAGGGGGTGGGGGTAGAAAGTCGAGACGAAAGCAGACCACAGAACGTTGTTAGAGAACAGAAAAGGGTGTGAAAGGAGGCATTTTTAGGGGGGAAAATTTTCCGTCACTATCGGGATTCGAATCTGGGACCTATTGAATGAGAGGCAAACCCCTTAACCTCTAGACCACGTGAGACCCCAAATTGTCTCAGGAAACTGAAAGCTCTCTTGGACCGCTAAGGAAAGGTTTTTAAATTCCGAATTTTACATTAATTATTCAAATCATCCAAACCAAAATGGATTGGATTATGATTATAAAGTTTAATGATTTAATTGGCAGCTCTTTTACTGTTATGCCCACATTATATTTTCTCAACCAAAAAGAAAAAGAAAAAACGTTGCTAATGATATTTTCATCTTTCCCATGAAAACTGACTCTGCACTTTGCCAATGGTAAGGCGGAGTTGTGGCCAAATTTTTACAGGTCCATCTGCCATACACATATTTATTTCACTCCTCCTAATAATTACCCCCCCCCCCCCCTCCTCACCCCGATTTAGCAATTTCCCGTACTGCTACCGGCTATTTCAACCACTCTTGAAGATTGTTTGCTGAATTTGGACTCTGGTCATTCTTAACCCTTCTTCATATATGTTTAAACTGTACACTTTTCAACACTTTTCATTGCTTCATTGTTGGCTGTTTTCATGTTCCACATATTGTTTTTAATGCTCTGATCAATCTCGAGCAATACTGATTCTGGAAGAGATAATGCCTGCATTGTACAGCTCATTTGGGAAGAAGGAAAAATTTAGCCACAATTTTTTCCAAATCAAATATCTCATTTCAACCATTTGATGTTTGCATGACATGAATATATTAAATCATATACATACATATAATATATATGCATGTATATTAAATATACATATATA